TGACACAGGGGGGACTTAATATGGGGGATGAATTAATATGGGGAATGAATTACTATAGGGGAGATGAATTACTATAGGGGGGATGAATTACTATATGGGGGATGAATTACTATGGGGGATAAATTACTATATGGGGGATTAATTACTATGGGGGATGAATTAATATGGGGAATGAATTACTATGGGGGATGAATTACTATATGGGGGATGAATTACTATGGGGGATGAATTACTATATGGGGGATTAATTACTATGGGGGATGAATTACTATGGGGGATGAATTACTATATGGGGGAATGAATTACTATGGGGGATGAATTACTATATGGGGGATTAATTACTATGCTTACTATGGGGGAATATTACTATACTTACTATGGATGACACATACACATCATTCATCTACTCTTGGTCCGGCCCCCGGGTCCAATATATGAACCCATTGCGGCCCTCAAGTCAAAAAGTTTGCCCCACCCTGATCTAATCCCTTGTTAGAATATACTGGGGGTTATTTACTAAAACTGGAGGTTGCAAATCTGGTGCAGCTCTGCAGAGAAACCAAACAGCTTCCAGGTTTTATGGTCAAAGCTTAATTGAACAAGCTGAAATTAGAAGCTGATTGGCTACCATGCACAGCCGCACCATATTCTGAGTGCTCCAATTTTAGTAAATCCCCCCCAGTGCATGTAATAGGTAGTGGGGACACATTACATTTTCACAATTATTTTTAGAGACACAGTATCTTTGGCTGAAATATTCACAAGGCAGAATCAGATTAGAAATAGACAAGTATCCTTGCAAAGGTGTGGAACTCAAGCTGTTAGAAGAGGGGTGTCATCGATTTGAACGTTTGACAGATGGATCCCACAGTGGCACTTTCAAGACATTTGGCTATTCTCTAACAAGACAATACAAGCCTGTCCAAAGATATAGTATTGACTTCACCAAATATCACAACAATAATGACTTTAAAGCAGGGTTTCTCAACTAGAATTTCTCCAGATGGTCAATAGGGGTTCTTTCAGCAATGAGCAATTTCTGTCTGTTAGCTAACTTCCCACTGACACCATTGATCTTTTTTTGCTATCTCGGGGTAATTCTTCCCAATGACCACAAGTGTAAGGAGCATTCTTCCCACTGACCATCATACTAATGTATCATGATTTGTAGATACAGTCGTTTTTAGCAGAGGTTCTTGAGACTAGAAATGTATTTTAAGGCTTTGTGATGAAGCTGCTTTAGTGTAACTATAAGCAAAATATTATTTTTCATTTTGGATAGAGTAATGGAGGGTTTCAACCCGTCCGTTTTTTCTTTGCCATCTGTGTCCCATTCCTGTCCCATAGCCAAAACAGGAAGTGAGAAGAAACCCCTGCAAATTAAGGGAATTCCCTGCCCCCCAAGTCATCAGAACTAGTGTCCCCATTGGAAGATTTCCCCTATATTACTTTTCTGGGGACAACCCCAAATTTTTGATTCTCTTTTTTCATTTCACTTTCTTTTCCATTAGCTTTTATTATTTTCAAAAGGATATTACAACAGCTCAAATAAAAGCTCAATTGTAAACAATCATAAGGCCAATGTTTTACAAACAATCTTAGGCAAAATTATGTTAAAGAACATAACAATAAGATGCATATTCAAACATATACAAGCATCCAGAGACCACAACGCTTGGCCACGCGGTGGACCGCAACCAGGGGCATCCAAAACCATACCACCACATAGCCACCAGAGGGTATGGACTGCCTCATGGTTGTTCAGCCAAGAACAGAGAACTCTCAAAAGTAACAAAACATTATATTTGCAATAAGCACAAAAGAGGGAAGAAAAAAAGGAAGGGAAAGAAAGGAAGTTCATTTCACTTTCAATGATAATGGCAAACAGGACAACAGGGTGGGTAAAACAGAGAGGGTGAATCTCCCTAATGGGGATAGACAGCAATAAAAACCTAATAGGTGTTCTAATACCTCTACACCCTATCCAAAAATAAAAAAAAAAAGTATTTCATTTAGTTATACTCTAAGTAAATCCATACAAAAATCACACACATATATAAATACCCTCATTCCAGCAATAATAAAACATTGTAGAAGGAGCGTATTTATAAAACAGCTGGCAAAAAGTATGGGATCACCACTCTTGGAAAATATCCATTCAATTGTTTAATTGTGTAGAAAAAAAAACTAATCACAGACATGCCTCAAAACTATTTTCATTTAACATTCCAACCTTCTGACTTTAAGAAACACTGAGCCTGGGTTCACATGTATGCGGTGCGGTACATCGCATGTGATTAGCACAGGAGCCGCACCGCATTCCTGTGCAAGTTACATGCGATTTGTATGCAGTGCGATTGGAGCGATACATTTTGTATGGCTCTAATCGCACCGCATCAGAAAGGTGCAGGACCCTTTTTTGGGTCCGCACTAGAATTGGATTGCATGGATATTCACACCTATGCGATCCGATTCTGCACATCGAACCACATTTTGTGGATCGCTTTCGGGGTGTTGTTAACATACACACCCGCAGTGGTTCGCATAAATGGGGTGCGAATTCTGCACCGCATCAGTGTGAACCAGGGCTTAAAGGTAATAAAAAAAGAAAGAAAACTAAGTTGCAACTGTTTTTGCAGCTCAAGCAGAGAAAAAAAAAATGGAATCACTCAATTCTGAGGAAAATATTATGGAATCATGAAAAAAACACTACAGTACACCACTAGTACTTTGTTGCACCACCTCTGGCTTTTTTAACAGCTTGAATTCTCTGAGGCTTGAATTTAACTATGGACAAATAGTATTCTTCATCAATCCAGCTCCAACTTTCCCTGATTGCAGTTGCCAGATCAGCTTTGCAGGTTGGAGCCTTGTCATGAACCATTTTCTTTTGGATTGAGGTCCGGACTATTTGCAGGCCATGCCATTGACAAAAGATGTTTTTCTTGAAGGAAAGTTTTCTTGGCTTTTGCCCTATGGCAAGATGCATTATCATCCTGAAAGATGATGTCATCATCACCAAACATCCTTTCAATTGGTGGAATAAGAAAATACCTTTACCTGACATACAACCCCATATCATCAATGATTGTGGAAATTTGCATGTTTTCGTTGGGCAGTCGTCTTTATACATTTCATTGGAACAGCACCAAACAAAACTTCCAGCATCACCACCTTGCCCAATGCAGATTCGTAATTCATCACTGAACATCACTTTCATCCAGTCATCCACAGTCCATGACTGCTTTCCTTTAGTCCACTGTACATTTGTTTTTTGCTGTTTAGGTGTTAATGATGGTTTTCGTTTTGCTTTAAATCCCATTTCCTTTGGGCCATGTCTTACAGTTCCTTCACAGACAATTATTCCGGTTTCTGCCCAGTTGTTCCTCACTTGTTTTGTTGTGCATTTTCTGTTTTCAAGGCATATTGCTTTAAGTTTTCTATCTTGACGCTTTGATGTCTTCCTTGGTCTACCAGTACGCTTCCCTTATACAACCTTCCCATTTGATTTGTACTTGGTCCAGATTTTAGACACAGCTAACTGGGAACAGCCAACATCTTGTGCAACAATTCGTATTCGAATTTTATATTCCTCTTCTTTTTTCAACTGACATCTCTCGTGTTCGATCCATGGTTCATGTCAATCAGCTTGGTGGGCAATATGGATTCAGACAATCCATATTGCCCGGTAGATCGCCCTGCGGATCAACTCTATCCACTGGACACCGACTACATACTGGAAGGGTACAGCTAAATTTGTCATTGTGTGCTGTCATCATTCTCAGCCATTGGTCATCTGGTGGTACTTTATAATGCACCCAGATGTTTGAGCCTGGCATAAGGCTGTTCCTGGGTGATCTGGACCTGGTTCCTTGGCCTGGGTACCAGGGCCTCAACCTTCTGACATGTCTCCCACATTTCTGCTCTTTCTGCCTCAGCAAGAGACCTGTCAGCACAACCCCTGAGTTCACAACATCTGGGCTGACATCAAACCTATCTGTTTTCTGAAGCCTCTGATCGAACAGATTCAGATGGGTCAGTTTGTCCCCATCTTGTAGTCCTTTCTCTGCAGTGCTCCACAACAACAGATCTTGTAGCTGTGGTGACAGAGGATAAGGCCACAGAAGACTTTATTTCACCAAGTGTCATCATCTGACCCTGTCACACCTTCTACTCTCCTCAGCAGATGGAGATCTGGGGGTGTGTGGTTGCCTAGCAGACCAGTCAGGAGACAAACTGCTAGGTAGTGGGCTACAATTTGTTGTGTGTGTCTGGTGTGGGGACATTCATGAAGAGTGATTAACACAAAGATTCTAGCTCATTGGATAGCTGGACAAATTATGTGCTAATTGCTAGACTGCTCCCCAACCCTTAGAGTGCACCAGATTGTATGTAAGATTTGTATCTGCCCATGTGTGGCCAGCCATCTGGATTGGAGTGGAGTCCACCTCTAGTGGTGGCCAGAGGTAGTGCATGCTGTGAAAAGTGTACCACAGCCAATCTTTATTGATCAAAGTAAGCCTCCCTCATTCCCTCCTACTCCTGTCAAGGGCCTAGCCTAGGCATGCGTTCATGACAGTTTTAATTACATTTCTAGCAAGAAGTTAGATTTCAATGTGCATGTGTGTAAAATTTAAACATTGCTTCTGGCTTGAAGAGGTAAAATGGCATGACGTTTTTATTAGCATGAACTTTTGTAATACACGCTATACTTTTTTAAGCAGACAGATCCAATTGCGCATCCTTTCTCTAACATAGTAATTTTCTGTTTTTTAGGCTGACATCTCTGGAAGCTTAGCACTGGTAAGTATCAGTGGGGGGGGGGGGGGCATAAACACTGCCAGCAGAGTCACTTACTTATGTTTTAATCTATTTTTTCCATTACTGTGTTTTCCTGAATAACATACCATATTTTTCGCTCCATAAGACGCACCTGACCATAAGATGCACCTAGGTTTTAGAGGATGAAAACACAAAAAAAAATATTCTGAACTAATGGACTGCAGACATAGTACAGGAGATGACCAGAGACTGTGGACATGGTGCAGGAGATGACCAGAGACTGCAGACACAGTACAGGAGATGACCAGAGACTGTGGACATACTACAGGAGATGACCAGAGACTGCGGACGTGGCACAGGAGATGATCAGAGACTGCGGACATAGTACAGGGGATGACCAGAGACTGTGGACATAGTACAGGAGATACCAGAGACTGCGGACATACTACAGGAGATGACCAGAGACTGTGCAAATAGTACAGGAGATGACCAGAGTCTGCGGACATACTACAGAAGATGACCAGAGACTGCGGACATGGTACAGGAGATGACCAGAGACTGCGGACATAGTACAGGGGATGACCAGAGACTGCGAACATAGTACAGGAGATGACCAGAGACTGCAGAGGGCACGGTACAGATGACCAGAGACTGTAGACACGGTACAGGGGATGACCAGAGACTGCGGACACAGTACAGGAGATGACCAGAGACTGCGGACCTTTGGGGAGCAGAGGAAGGGGGGAGCGGGTACCTGAATTTGACAGGTACCCGCTTCCACTTCCGCAGAGTTGTCCTCCCTTTCCATCTTCTGGGACATGTGACAGGTCCCAGAATACTGCCGGACCATTCACAAAGCACAGCGCTTCTCACGCATGTGCAGTGGGCACCCGACCGTGAAGCCGCAAGCTGTCACAGCCAGGTGCCTACAGTAAAGATGCCGGCACCGGGGAATAAAGATGGTGAGGACAGCGCTCGTCCGAGAAGCACAGAAGAGCCGAGCGGCCAGCCAGGTGTTCCAACATGGCAGCGGTGGGAATACTGGCCTGGCCGCTCCATATTTTCTCCATAAAACGCACAAACATTTTCCCCCATTTTGGGGGGGGGGGGGGGGGGGGAGTGCATCTTATGGAGCGAAAAATACTGTATTTTCTTCCTTTCATAGCTTTTCTCTTGGTTTTGCTGCTTCCAGTAGTTTATGTTTATGTTAGAGCTTTTATCCAAATATATTTCAGCCATGATAGCCATCTTGTGTTGCCAGGGTCAAATAAATCTGCCTTGAGGCCTTCAGAATCAACAGTACCTATAGCTTATAGTAAAAGGCAATGATACTGTAGCCTTAACCAGACAGATTCTGAGTTGGCGACACAGGGGCATTCTATCAGGGGTACATTCACGTATTCAGAGTGGAGAGGAGGGACTTTTTTCCATTATCAGGCACACGCAGATAATCCTACACCTTGGGTTGCTTTGCACCAGTGCACCTCCTGAACAAATTATAGTTCTGGCCAGCAGGGCCGGGGACATTGGGGGGGCAGGAGGGGTGGGTGCCCCGGGCTCCTGTAACATATGAGGTGGAGGGGAGCAGCCAGGAGAATCTGCCTTTACAAGCTGACAGGAGTAGTAACAGCGACATCACTACTCCTGTCAGCTTAGTTCCAGATTACATTTATCAAATCTACTCAGGAACACCGCTGGATGTTGGATTGGGACTTTACAGAGTTTGTTTACCTACTCGCTACCCACATTCTTTGCTGTGAGGAGATGGGGCAAGTAAGCAAACTGTAAAGTTCTGATTTGACAGTCCTGATGCAAGAGGAGTGTGAAGGAGAGAGTTGGGAGGAGGCGTGGTAGGATGTGCTCTCCAGCTTCACACTCCTGTCACTGTGGTGCTCCTCCTCCCGGCTTTCTCCTTTGCACTCCTGTCACTGTGACGCTCCTCCTCCCGGCCCTCTTCTTCGCACTCCTCTCACTGTGGCGCTCCTCCTCCTGGCTCTCTTCTTCGCACTCCTCTCACTGTGGCGCTCCTCCTCCCGGCCCTCTTCTTCGCACTCCTCTCACTGTGGCGCTCCTCCTATCGGCTCTCTTCTTCGCACTCCTCTCACAGTGGCACTCCTCCTCCCGGATCTCTCATTCGCACTCCTCTCACTGTGACGATCCTCCTCCCGGCTCCCTTCTTCGCACTCCTCTCACTGTGGCGCTCCTCCCCCTGGCTCTCTCCTTAGCACTCCTCTCACTGTGGCGCTCCTCCCCCTGGCTCTCTCCTTAGCACTCCTCTCACTGTAGCGCTCCTCCCCCTGGCTCTCTCCTTCGCACTCCTCTCACTGTAGCGCTCCTCCCCCTGGCTCTCTCTTTCGCACTCCTCTCACTGTAGCGCTCCTCCCCCTGGCTGTCTCCTTCGCACTCCTCTCACTGTAGCGCTCCTCCCCCTGGCTCTCTCCTTCGCACTCCTCTCACTGTAGCGTTCCTCCCCCTGGCTGTCTCCTTCGCACTCCTCTCACTGTAGCGCTCCCCCTCCCCCTGCTCTCGCACTCCTCTCACTCCTCACTGTCTCCTTCGCACTCCTCTCTCTCCCCCTGGCTCTCTCCTTAGCACTCCTCTCACTGTAGCGCTCCTCCCCCTGGCTCTCTCCTTCGCACTCCTCTCACTGTAGCGCTCCTCCCCCTGGCTCTCTCCTTAGCACTCCTCTCACTGTAGCGCTCCTCCCCCTGGCTCTCTCCTTAGCACTCCTCTCACTGTAGCGCTCCTCCCCCTGGCTCTCTCCTTCGCACTCCTCTCACTTAGCGCTCCTCCCCCTGGCTCTCTCCTTCCTACTTAGAGCTCCTCCCCCTGGCTCTCTCCTTCGCACTCCTCTCAATGTAGCGCTCCTCCCCCTGGCTCTCTCCTTAGCACTCCTCTCACTGTAGCGCTCTTCCCACTGGCTCTCTCTTAGGGATAGGGGATTTTTGCTGACACGTGATGCCTCATTCCCCAAGGTGACATAAATCTATCAGGCAAATTAGCATCAGTGTAGAAAGAGGACATTAGCAAGTTTTTGGAAAAAAAAAAACATTGATAAAATCTTCTTAAGGTGGGGGTGGCATTAATACATGTATCTTGTCATTTTCTAGCAGGAAAGTAGATTTCAGCATGTGTGTGTAAAATTTAAAAATACTGGTAGTTGTGGAAACAAACAGGTCAGATGGCATGACATTTTCTTTAGTATGACCTTTTGTAGTAAACGCTGTACTTCTTTTAGACAGATCGAATAGAGCATCCTTTCTCTAACATAGCAATTTTCTGTTCTTAGGATTACTCGCCTGAAAACACAACATTGGTAAGTATATGCAGAAATTAACAACTGTAATGTATATGTCAGAGTTTGTTATAAGTCACCTCAAATAAATTACAGTGATGAAAACCAAACTTGATAGTGAGTAAAAAAGCAGCATATTAAATAATTATTTCAGCTATCCATGTATCAGGTAGGACATTCATCTAATAATTTTTTTTTAATAACAATTTACATCCCAATTTCAATAATCCAATAATCTTAATTGGTGGCTAAGTGAACTATTTGGAAAACTCTGGTAGATTTGATTGTTTCTAATAAACCAATACCCTATCAAGTGTGTGTGTTTGGGAAGATTTAGCCAGCAGTGTCCAAAAAACAGGTAACATTTAAAGTGCTCTTGCGCCAACACTATAGACATCATTTTTTGAGATATACATACGAAGCAAAAGCTATTTAAAAAATGTTTTTCCAATAAAAGTTTCTATTGAATTTTCTGATAAACAACGACAAGGACCACCATACATGAATACAAATTTAAACAACTCAAGTGGAGTAAATGTTGTAGACTAGAAATGTATACTGTCAAACGAAGACAGTTAAACTAAATAGGGAACATTTAAACCATTGTAAGCCAATAACATAGTAAGTACAAACTCTATGTAACAAAATAACTAGAAATAAAAGGAAACCGATATGGTTAATTAGTACAGCTGTAGAAATCATAAGATTTGTTGAAAGTTGAACATTTAAATTCTTAAATATTGGGGGTGCACAAAAATGTAACAATTGTATAAAATTGCAAAAAAAAAAAATCAAGATAGCAAATATTGAACCCAAAAGCCAAATGTATTAATACATTGATTTTCTTAACATTTTCAAAGTATATCAACTGAAAGAAAAATAATTCTAAACATAGGCCTGCTAGGAATTCTAAGAACACAGGCCACCAAGAAGATACATTAGGCAAAGTAGAGGAAAAAACAGAAGGTGAAATCTAATTCCATTTGTTTTTATGATGTACTGTAAATGTCAATGCCAGATCATATACAGTACTACATTTCAGTTTTCCCTGTCTAACTCTGGTCATACATTAATCATTTATTTTCATTCAACAAGTGGGTTGAACAAAAAAAATTACCTGATTCCCCCCATCCACACAATCGAGAAGGGGGAATTGCTCCTGTTGTGCTATTGTGCTCTGAAGGCGGGAGACTTTCCCACTGTCAGAATACACTAATCAGGAAAAACCCAACAGGCTGGTTGTACAGAAGTTGATCAGTTATATATTTTTATACATACACTGCTCCAAAAAATTAAGGAACACTTTGAAAACACATCAGATCTCAATGGGGAAAACTATCATGCTGGATATCTATACTGATATGGACGGGGTAATGTGTTAGGAACGTAGGGATGCCCCATTGTTTGATGGAAATGAAAATTATCAACCTACAGAGGACTGAATTCAAAGACACCCTGAAAATCAAAGTGGAAAAATTATGGAGCAGGTTAGTCCATTTTGCTGAAATTTCATTGCAGTAACTCAAAATGGTACTCAGTAGTTTGTATGGCCCCCATGTGCTTGTATGCGTGTCTGACAACATCGGGGAATGCTCCTAATGAGATGACAGATGGTGTCCTGGGCTATTTCCCCCCAGATCTGGACCAGGGCATCACTGAGCTCCTGGACAGTCTGAGGTGCAATCTGGCGGTGTCAGATGGGCCGAAACATCATATCCCAGAGGTGTTCTATTGGATTTAGGTCAGGCGAGCGTGGGGCCATTCAATGGTATCACTTCCTTCATCCTTCAGCAACTGCCTGCATACTCTTGCCACATGAGGCTGGGCATTATCGTGCACCAGGAGGAATCCAGGACCCACTGCACTAGCGTAGGGTCTGATAATGGGTCCAAGGATTTCATCCCGATACCTAATGGTAGTCAGGGTGCCATTGTCTAGCCTGTAGTGGTCTGTGCATCCCTCCATGGATATGCCTCCCCAGACCATCACTGACCCACCACCAAAACGGTCATGCTGAACGATGTTGCAGGCAGCATAACATTCTCAAAGGCTTCTCCAGACCCTTTCACGTCTGTCACATGTGCTCAGGATGAACCTCCTCTCATATGTGAAAAGCACAAGGGTGCCAGTGGCTGACCTGCCAATTCTGGTGTTCAATGACAAATGCCAATCGAGCTCTATGGTGCCAGGCAGTGAGCACAGGGCCCACTAGAGGACATTGGGCCCTCAGGCCACACTCATGAAGTCTGTTTCTGATTGTTTGGTCAGAGACATTTACACCAGTGGCCTACTGGAGGTCATTTTATAGGGCTCTGGCAGTGCTCATCCTGTTCCCCCGTGCACAAAGGAGCAGATACCGGCCCTGCTGATGGGTTAAGGACCTTTCTATGGCCCTGTCCAGCTCTCCTAGAGTAACTGCCTGTCTCCTGGAATCTCTTCCATGCTCTTGAGACTGTGCTGGGAGACACTGCAAACCTTCTGGCAATGGAGGAGCTGGACTGCCTGTACAACCTCTGTAGGGTCCAGGTATTGCCTCATGCTACCAATAGTGACACAGACCCTAGCCAAAAGCAAAATCTAGTGAAAAACAGTCAGAAAAGATGAGTAGGGAAAAAAAATGCCAGTGTCCTCCACCTGTGAAATCATTCCTGTTTTGGGGGTTGTCTCATTGTTGCCC